ACTTTTTAATGTATTGTATGGTTGTATTTTACATGTTTACGAGATTTGTCACATGAGGTTCAGGAGCTGTCTGAGCTTTTGATGCGTAAAGGGAAAAAATAAAAAAAAAAAAAAAAAAGATATTAGATAAAAGATATTAAAAAAACTAAAACTAACAAAACATAAGTCATAACAAAATTACTAAAATTTTAACTAAAATTAAAAATGAAAACAAAAATATAAAAATAAAAGCTAATTCAATTATTCAATAGTATATTTAGAAACGATACTAAAATAACACTGCACAGGAGAACGTCCCAAGTTTGGGAACGCAAGAGTGTGAGTTAACAATGACAACACTTTCATCTTTGAATTAATTTTATCCTGAGCAGAAACAGAACAGCGGGAAAACACAACATAAATCATATTTGTTTGTACTTCAGGAATTCCGTGTATTGAGCAGAAATCTAAAAGCATTGTTCACATTCAAAACTAGATCAACCAACAATCTGAATACTCAGGAAAGGGCTGAGACCTTCATCTCTGCAATGTCTTGAACAAAACAAAAAAAAAAGGTTCATTTGATATGAATTGTAAACACTTCCGTATTTTAGACCAGTAGTTCCCAACCCTGGTCCTGGAGGCACCCCAACACTGCACATTTTGCATGTCTCCTTTCTCTGACACACCAATTTCAGGTCTTGGAGTCTCTACTAATGAGCTGATGACCTGAATCAGGTGTGTTTGATTAAGGAGACATGCAAAACATGCAGTGTTGGGGTGCCTCAAGGACCAGGGTTGGGAACCACTGTTTTAGACCACGATAGGCCAAACACGGTGGTTTTGTGGCTCCTTTCCTAAAGTCCTGAGCCAGTTGGTCCAGCAAAGCCCATGCAGGCCATGTCCAACCATATGTTTACTCAAGCATGTGATAAAGACACGCTCTATGAATTTTCCTTTTTGTTTTGACATTTCAACTTCCTTTGCAGGGTAATTTCACTAAACAATCATGCCAGGAACATTTAACCACTCACACACTGATCTGAAATCAAATAAAGAAACAACTGCACCATCATTTCAGTTCATGTTTTCTTTATGCTAACAGTTCCAGAGTCGTTGAGGCCACTTATTCAAAGCCTCTACAAGAGTGACAATAGCTTTGTGAACAGAATAAAACACAAAGGTGCAGCCTGTACACTGTAAACGCCTGCGATTCATTAAAAGATTCAAGCACACAAACACAAGCTGCTGTGTCCATTCTGTCAGCCGGAGCCTTTCCATGAGCCTTTTCTCATAAAATCCCACAGGCGGCTTTGGAAAGCAGCTTACACATTTTCAAAAGAATTAGGAACATACTCAATTCTTATTTTAATAAAAACCAATTATCTTACTTGTAATTCTCATTACTATCAATGATGAGTCTTGATGAAAATCATCCTGTTTGGACACAAGTATAAATAAATAAATAAAATGCCAACTGTCCTATAAAATAAAATTCTATATTATATTAGGCCTATTGGTATAAATACATTGAAATGTAAATATTATATCTTTATTTTTAGGGGAGTACAGTAATGAAAATGGCATTTTGTCATTTTGAAAATGTGCTTAATAATACCACAAGGAGCCTTTTTTATGTAAAAAAATATATATAATAAGTAAAATTATTATTTTTTTTTTACCCATTTTTGTTTTGACAGAACCGATTGTGGTTACCATTTACTCCCTACTACTATGCCATGGTCAGCATATACTGACGTGTCTTTGAGATAAACTGTAAAGATAATTTTGACTAACGTTAGCAGAAAGTCGTTTTTGCATGAAATTGCCATATAAGTTAAAAATAATGCAAGAACTTTCTTTAAAAAAAGACAAGGAAGTACTATGCAACACATAGGCTACAGAATAGTTCAGAGAAGGAGAAGCTGTTCAGGCACAAACAAAATAATGCCGAAGAGAAACGAAATCAAACTCATACCTCACTTTCAGATTTGAACAGCTTTAAAGTGTGTAACCGCGCTAACGTTACATGTCCTGTGGTGGGAGAGTTTCTCGCTTTTTCAAGAAGCATCGGTAAAGTTTCTTTCTCTTACTCCGCCATGTTTTCTCAAGACACTTTCCTTTCGTAAGTTTTTTTTTTTTCTCAGAAAAAGGAAAACGTCTTTCACTTTGGCACGCCAATCATTACAGAGGAGTTTTTGTAAAACGCCACGCCTCGCCATCATAATGCTTCAGTGCTGAAGTAATGCTCGCGAACGAATCGTTTTTGAACAGACTCTTTTGAATGCTTCAGTCGAACCGATTCGCAAAGTGATTCACATATCGCTGTAAAAAGATGAAGGGGGAGCAATATTGTAGAATTACCGGCATTACTAATAATTAACATTGTTAATATTAACAAACTAATGCTGAGACGATTTTTGTTTTGGTCGCACCAATTCATAACATTTCTATTTGTAAATTTCCTGACACTGTGTGACTTTGTTTTAGACTAAAACTTTAGGAATGACGGTAGAAATATTGTTAAATTGTTAAAGCACACGTGGGCAGGCTATAAACTAATCCAAAAGACATTTTAACAATAAAAATAGAGCGGAAAACATTAAGTGATGACTCGCGGTGAATCGATTCATTGAACTGATAATCTGAAAGAATCAATTCTCTAAAATGAATTGGACGCCCAAGTGCTGCTAGATCCAAATTACTTGGCAAAATTGATTGCAAAATTGGGTCAACATTTTGTGGCAGATTAGATGAAAATGCTTGTGAAAACATTCAAAAATAAATAAACAAAATAAATAAATAAACGAAGAAGGACCATTTTTGTCTGCACCTCAATTTGGTTCTAATTGTTAGCAAAAATGAATATAGAACAAAACAGGACTTTCAAAACCTTAAACATGACTCAAATCTCATTAAAATAATTATGGTGAGTAAGTAGTGTGATGTATTGACCAGCAGGGGTCAGTGTTTATTACTGACAGACAAATCTAGCAGAAAGACATTTTATGTATTCATTTTTCCTGTTTTTTTTTTTTTAAAGTAATTATATTGTACACATTAAAGCAGAAAAATCAAGACTTGAGCTCAAAAATAGATACACGTACACATTGGGCCAGCTTGCTTACGCACATACACAAACATAATAGCAAGCACGAGTAACGACATCAGCTTAATTGCACTATTAAAGCTAAAAAAAAATGTATAAAATCCATTACACAGATAGAGCATAAAATTGGATAATATTTCCATCTCTGTAATGCACTCTGGTTTGATGCATTAATACACTTAAGGCCACTCAAAGAGCATTTGAAAACAGACATAAACAAATAAATAATGTAGGCTATTACAGCTAGAAAATATACAGTAGGCTATAATACAATATATAAAAAGTTTACAATGATTTTACTAGCTGTTTATAGCCAATAAAGTATAAATGCACATTTGGTGCGAATTAGAAGAGAAGGCTACATATAAAGCAACACAACAGCAGTCTTTGGACACATGAAAACATTCCACTGTTAATTAAACACATTTGGCATTTCAATCCCTGCTCTATTTCGAAACGCGAACGTAAGCTATTTTCTTTGAATGCACGAGACTTCCGTTCAGGTAAATAATTAAAAGTGTAACAAACAAACAGTAAACGGTAAGACTATTTGTTCGACAAACCAGTGTGTTTATGATTATGATAATGAACTAAAATAATATCATGACAAATACCAGTTTGCAGCATAACCGAATGTTTTAGTAGCCTAGAGCTAAAATAACTGAAAGCTAATGGCACCGGAAGCCTCGCACATCAAGTTAACAAATGGACGCGCGAATGAATGTGGATAGCTGCAACATTTCAATACTTAAGTCATTTTTAAGTTGTAAAATGAAAAGAATCAACCAGCAGAAAGGAGAACCCGGGGCTAGTTGTTACACTTTTAGCTCAAAATAACACTTTTGAGAGTGGGTTTAGTTTAAAAGTCAATGTCTTTACAAACGCATACCTTACAGTCTTTGCTACAAAGATGCTTTTTAACATTTATATGGCAGGGGGAAAAAAATACATTATGTATCAGGAACATATGATGAGCACATTGCAGGACGTGTTGTCACTCTATGGGAACTTGACATTAAACAGCCTATTACAGGCGTTTCAGCTAAATATAAATACAGTTATAAACACAAAACAACTTTTGAAATGATAAGGAAATATCAAACCACTGTTTTTGCCAATAGAAATTGTAGTTAACAAATTCTACAGAATTACAACATATAAAACATAACTTGCCTGGTTACCTGTAGGCCTATATCACTCAGAAATCCATGAATCTACCAATTAATCTTTATATTTCTCTTTACAAATGTTAATACTGTAAACATGTACATATACATACATACAGATAGATATGTACACATTCAAAACCGTACAGAATTACAACATATAAAACATAACTTGCCTGGTTACCTGTAGGCCTATATCACTCAGAAATCCATGAATCTACCAATTAATCTTTATATTTCTCTTTACAAATGTTAATACTGTAAACATGTACATATACATACATACATACAGATAAATATGTACACATTCAAAACCACCATACTGCCTTTTATTGTGTACAATTTTAGAGTTTAACATTTCCCCCAAAGTAATAAATATTATAATATCTGAATTTGAAGGGCAACAGAAGTATATTTTTATAGGCTTTTATATGTACATACTTTGATTAAACCCACCCAGAATCCCCCAAAAGCAGCAGTTTTGCTATGATGAATTCCAGTATTCACATTTTTTTAAACACATTTTTACCATGCTCTCTAATGAACTAATGTGTTTAATCCACAGATATACTGCAGCCTAAATACTGTATATTCTGGCTATTTAAGCCATTTGTTGTCATATCAACGGAGCAATACAATCTGCATTTAATAAAACTGTTTGATTCAGATGTTCATGTTTTCTGGAGGTGTTGAGGTCTGTATATTAGAGGCACCGGTGAGTTTTAATGACTCTAGAATGGAGTGTCCATCTGACTTCCTTTGGCTCCAACAGGGACGACAACGTAACTCCCCTCTTGATATCGCATCCAACGTAAGCGTATTTCTTTCTGAACCTAACAGACAAACATATGTACTGCATAATATATAAACACAAAATCTCAGGAGAGACTTTGATCAAAACAAAACCGAAATCTAAGATATGTTATCAATGTGTGTGTATATTTTATCATTTCATATTATTCTGATGTTTTAATCAGCTGTTTGGACTCTCATTCTGACGGCACCCATTTACTGCAGAGGATCCATTGGTGAGCAAGCGATGCAATGCTACATTTCTCTAAATCTGTTCCGATGAAGGAACAAACTCATCTACATCTTGGATGGCCTGAGGGTGAGTACATTTTCAGCAAATGTTCATTTTTTGAGTGAACTGTTCCTTTAATGTGATAGCAATCCATCTAATTTCTGTTGTTACTTCTTCTTGTGTGAGCGTGTTTTGAACTCGAATAACACCCAAAAGTCCAGTAATTTCCTTTTAAGAAAGTTTAATAGCAAAAAATAACTGGAAATGTTACACGGTCAAAAAACTAGCGCTCCAATCTTGCATGAAACAAATTCTAACGGTTCTTGCCGGAAATGACATCAGCATCATTTTCAATATTTATATGAAACATATTAAATTAAGTACAATTATTTAATTTCTTAATCCAAACAATAACTTATTTCACATCTATATAAATAAACAAATAACTTAAATGGCTCTTACATTTAATATATTGGTTTTGTTAAAAATGATTTTCGTTAAATGCAAGACTGAAATGCAATGCATTATTATTATTATTCATCCTTAATTGTATATTGGCCTTTAAGCAGTCCTCTTGTTAATTCCCCAGTCTGTTTTTTAATCAAATTAACAAAGACTGGCAAGCATGTTTGTCAAGGATTTTATTGGGCTAGATTTTGAGTACAAATCTTGTTTAGGCATCTGAGAACGCTGATTATCTCCATTCAAAAACAACCCTGACTTGCAGAATCAACAGTAAACAAGCTGGTTAGTCCAGATATCGGACTATTTTTACAGTTGTTAAAAGCATAAGGGCATTGCACTTTTGGAATCTGGCTTTCAGCACATTATTTTGAATTTTGGTGTTTATTTTGTATTTTTATGGTGTGTGAGAGCTGCCATATAATAGGCCTAATCACTCACCTCCTGGTTCAGGAAACAGTAGAGAACTGCCACAATGAGGCCCTTAAGAAAATCAACGAAGAGAAAGTCAGTTTTTGTAAATTGAATAAAATGTTCCTCAGATCAAATATCTACAAATATTATAGATCCATCTCTCTTCCTCTCCCTTTCATCTCAGTGTTTTGAGACAAAACAATTTTATGCTGTTAACACTGTTTACACCATTCATGCATGAATCTGTGTATCTGTGTTTTCGAGTCAGATCCTAATCCTTCAGAAGTATCCATGAGATTAAATGTATGACGGTCCAGTGCTGAAGTACACATCCACAGTGAAGAATCAGATAATTCCACACTAATAACATCCAACAGCTTACACATTTTGCAGGTGTCACTCTGAAAATAAACATGATAGGAATCGTTCATTAATTCTTACGCTGTTAATTGTTCTATAGAATCCAAAAGGAACAATTCTGAAGAATGTTTGTGCTTGTGTTCGAGTTCAAATTTGTTATGTTAACACTGTTTACACCATTCATGCATGAATCTGTGTATCTGTGTTTTCGAGTCAGATCCTAATCCTTCAGAAGTATCCATGAGATTAAATGTATGACGGTCCAGTGCTGAAGTACACATCCACAGTGAAGAATCAGATAATTCCACACTAATAACATCCAACAGCTTACACATTTTGCAGGTGTCACTCTGAATATAAACATGATAGGAATCGTTCATTAATTCTTACGCTGTTAATTGTTCAGTAGAATCCAAAAGGAACAATTCTGAAGAATGTTTGTGCTTGTGTTCGAGTTCAAATTTGTTCTTTTTAATCAATCAAAAACACACGGCGCAAAAACTGAAGTCCAATTCATGAACAAATGACTAAACTGGTTGTTTTTAGCAAATTAAAAACATACAGCACAACTTATGAAGTCAGATTCTCAAACAAATGACTCTTTTAAATAGTATTATTTTATTTTAGTTAATCAAAAACAGACCAAACAACCAGTGCAGTCTGATAAGCAAGCAAAGGACTCTTATGAGCTTGAGTTTATCATTTTAGAATAATTTTGCACATTATAATAAATGTCTAGCACAAGAAATTGAGTTTAAAGATGGTATCCATAGAACTACTCTTCAATTTTCTATTTTTGTATTCCACGGAAAAATTTGGAACGACATGAGGATTAGTAAATAATGGCACAATTATCATTTTCAGGTGAACTACAGGTACTGTCAGATCAGTGGCAGATAAATGCTGCTGTAGAGGTGTTTTTAAATGTCCTAGGATCAGTGAGTGATAGCCTTGAAGGCGGCTAAATCAAAATATTGCTCTTTTTGAGCAGTCTGACATAGCACACACACACACACACCCCAATATATACTGGTTATATATAGTATCTAACTGAGATGTCCTAAGATATCAAACCTGTCACTAGGACCGCCGTAGGCTCTGTAAACAGCAAATAGCAATCTGAAAACTTGAGGTGCCTCTCTGCCTGTCAGTCATTTTGCACATTCGGGGTGAGCTGACATGTCTGACTAGTCAAGATAAATGACACAGTCTTACTTCAATGTTAGCCTTCACAGAAAGTAATTAGCATTAAAAAAAGCAGATCACGGACATCATATTAAACCTTTACAAGAAGGTAACAACCTTCCTGTTATGTTTCTCGAACTCCTGCATGGAATTGATTTTTAAAATTAGTCATTGGCCCTTCAGGAAACTCAATTAGTGTTCCATCTAACTAAGTAATATCTCTAAAGCCCCAATGTCCATCTCCTATCTCAGGATATCAAAGGTGAGAATGAGGTCTGCTCTGAGCTTGTTTTGATCGGAGCTCATCTGAAGGCTGGAATACGTGACTTTAAAAATCTGAACAGAATACTAGACATCATACACTTTTGGATTTTGTAAATGGTTGAAAATGGAGAAAAACTGGCCAACATATACTAAATGACTGGCGTTAGCACACTGACCACAAACTCTTGCAGAAACATGTGCTTCATTGTTATCATGTGACTCATTAAAAAGAAAAAGTCATTCGTTAGTTAATCAGACTACAGTAGTTGCACTGCATGTTTTTAATTGAATAAAAATAACTGATTTAAAAGTTTGTGAATCAGACTACTTTGGTTGATTTGTACGTTTTTGATTTACTAAAAAAAGAGCCATTTTAAAAGAGTCATTTGTTTGCGAATCAGACTACGCTGGTTGCTTTGTATGTTTTTTTTTTTATTAAAAGAATAGTTGTAAAAGAGTCATTTGTTTGTGAATCAGACTATACAGTTTGTGCTAGGTGTTTTTGATTCAATAAAAAGAACCGGTTTAAAAGAGTCATTTGTTCATGAATCAGACTATACTGTTTGTGCTAGGTGCAGTGCCGATCCTAGACTTTTGGGGGTCCTACGTTCAGATCAAATCACAACAACGTAGGAAACAGATCCGGCGTGACGAATTGTTGAATAAAGTCTTTTTTTTTCTTTTCTTTTGCGCACAAAAAGTATTCTCGTAGCTTCGTAAAATTATGGTTGAACCCCTGATGTCACATGGATTATTTTACAGATCTCCTTGCTACGTTTCTGGACTTGGGAACATTTCAGTTGTATTGCTGTCTATGCAGGGTCAGACAGCTCTCAGATTCCATCAAAAATACCTTAATTTGTGTTCCGAAGATTAACGAAGGTCTTACGGATTTGAAACGACATGAGGGTGAGTAATCAATGACCGAATTTTCATTTTTGGGTGAACTATCCCTTTAATAAGTTTATGCGTGCTGTGTTTGTGTTTAAGCTGTGTTGTGCTGACAGCGGGCTGAATAACCTGGAAGGAGCCCAGACACAGCTCGATGCAAAGCCGCAGGCTCACGTTGAAGTATTCTGGGAGGAAGTTGTAGACCATGTAATGAGTGCCGAAGAGAGGGATGAGGAGGAGGGTGGACTTGGTCAGTCGCCTGAGGGGAGGAGAGATAAAGGATGAAGAGGAGGAAGGGTAAGAGTGTTATTGGGCAGATTAGTGCTGAGAGATTCTGGTGAGTGGACTTTATGGATTCAAACGAGTAAGAACATAAGGCATGACTTCAGACAACACCGTAAAGAAATAGTACATGAAAAATCAAAATACTATCAATATTTACTCACCCTGTCATTCCTAACCTGCATGCTGTTATTTTTTCCAGAAGCTGTGAAGGCTCCAAAAAGGAGCAGAAAGCATTATAAAAGAAACATTAAAGTAGTCTATTTGACTTGTAGGCTTTATTTTAAAGAGAGCTTTGTGTGAAAAATCCTGCACATGCATTCATTGTCTTCTGTGGAAAAAGAAAAATAACAGCATACTGGTGGTAATAAAACATTGACAATTTTCATTGTAGGGTAAACTGTTCCTTCAGTATTCACAAGTGTCCTCTGTATTTGCACATTGATGTGAATACTGAGTAGTGTTGTATTTATAGCTTCCAGTAATATAATTTCTTGTGTTTGTATTGTTCTTTATTTGTGAGCCAGATAAAAGTGAATATGCATGAATGTAAACATATGTGCAGTGATTATTATAATTGCTCTGCTAATTCTTCTTGGAATACAAAAAGAGAGGTTTGGTTGATTTCTTCATAAAACAAATCTGTATCAAGAACTGTAGCATAAAAGTATAGTCTATATAACTTGTACACTGTATTCCAAGTCTTCTGAAGTCAACTTTGTGTGAAATTGAAAGTTTATTCACTGAAATTTAATGGCAAAAACAGTTTTTTTCATATCTGGTGAGCTATTCCTTTAAATATAAATACTTTGAGGTCCCTCACTGTTTAATATATTAAAATTCAAATCACTCACGGATCAATGAACTCGCTGTGTTTTACTATATTAGCACCACTGCACACAGTTTTAATGCAAAACCATCAAATAATCTGACAGAAACTCTTAATAACACAGATCCTAGAGAGCGTAGCTGTCATTCACAGGCCTGTGTGAATATAAACATAACAGCAGCAAACACTCATTTTTGGCAAGAACAAAGAGTCTCTTCATGATAGCACCATTAACGGGACACATAACCAAACACATACACAAATCTATCTCCAAATTATCATTCAGTGCTCTTAAACACGAGCTGTGGCAGGCAGAAATGTACTGGAAATCATCCTCTGACACATGGATATAAAAACAGTATTGAAATTTGATTATGTTGCTTGGCAACAGCCTACAGTTTGACTATAGGAACTTGCAGAAGAACTGTTTATTTTGATTATTGTTATAATGAAAACGTTTTGATTACCATAATCATATACCAAAGTACTTAAAAGAATACCATGTACATGCCCAAAAACCATGGTACTGTGTCCAAAAAAGTACTATGATTTTGACATGTAATAAATAAATTTTATTGTTAATACTTACAAAAAACTACCAAAAAGAATGATATTTTGGACGTGTACCATAGTATACCATGCTATTCTTGGAAGTACCCTGGCGTACCATGAAAATGTCAGTACCATGGTATATACGCAAGTACCATAGTTTTACCATTTCATACCATCACACACAATCTCAAATTATTACCTATATCAAGGTATTTATTTACAGAGAACTACAAGGTAAAGAATACCATGAATTGCCATGATACCATATCCACACGTCATGGTAATGCCATGGTCATTTTTTGAAGCATACAGCCTTTTTTCATAATACCGTGGTATTGATAGGGTACAACAAAATATTTAAAAGAAATCAATGGTATAGAGATGGTCCTGTTTGAGTTTCTTGTGGGCTGTATTATTATTGTTAATTATTATTTCATTCATTTAAATAATGTTTAAATAGAAATATTAGATGAAAAACTTTTGATTTGGCAACTAGTTGAAATAGTACTAAAATTACTACAACTAAAACTGCTTAATATTTTCATGGAAGAAAAAAACGCTATACAATACCATTCAATTGTTTGAGGTAAATATGATTTTGAAAAAAATCAATACTTTTATTCAGCAAAAATGCATTAAATTGATCACAAGTGACAGCAAAGACATTTATAATTTTATTTAAAGAAAAATCAAATAAAGGTGGTTCAATGTACTTTGTATTCATTAAAGAATCCTGAAAGAAAAAGAAAAAAACATTTCCACAAAAACGGTTCAACATAAGAACCATCATTAAATATAGAGCACCAATAATAATTGAGCCACAAATCAGCTTATTAGAATTCAGCTTTGCCTTCATAGGAATAAATTACATTTAAAATATAATCAAATTGAGAACAGTTATTTTAAATGGCAATTTTTCACAATATTACTGTTTTTACTGTATTTTTGATTAAATAAATGCAGCACTGGTGAGAATAAGAGATTTCTTTTAAAAAACATTTAAAAAAAAATCTTAAATATTCCAAACTTTTGGTTGCCAGTGTATATACATTGTATAAGAAAGTGAATTCAAAATATTAGTAACACTGTAATAATTCAAAGTAACTCAGCTTGAGGGTTATCTGTAAAAATACCTAAAAATATCGTATTTCCTGTGGCAGTGTTGTCATAATCAGCAGTGCTGTTACAGTATCTGGTGGGCTCTACGGGGGAAGTACAGTACAGTAGAGATGAAAGAACAAAGACACAGCACCTAAGAGAATCACACTTCCAGCAGCCGCCGAAGCTAAAAATGATCAAAGGATCCTCACAGTGACAATGATGTCTCGAGTCCACAACAATCTCCTTCAGCAGCGTTCTGGGAACTCAATTCTATTTCCTGTCAGCATGCAACGGTTGCTTCAGCTTTACATCTGTAGTGTTTATCCGTGAATCTCAAAGTCACTCTCAATGCATTTCATTACCACATCCCTGGAGTTCTTGCCCGTTTATGGGGTTTGAAAGAACAACTTTTGCATAACATCCTGTCTACAAAGACAGACTCATTGTTACCGTAAGACATTATTTCTATATAATCTGACCCTTACAATGATTTTCATTAGTGCAATCTAATGTAGTCAAGCTGATTCAGTTATATTTAATAATATTTATCACTTGAGTGCAACCAGTTATGTTAGCATACGAGGCACATTTTTAACCTGACAAAATATTTTTTTTTACAGTTCAGTTGTTGTCAAATGTTGTCTGATGGAGCTACTAAAAGAAGTATGTTTAAACTTAAGATTCAATTTCTACTGATTAATAAGCATTGTAGTCATTAAATATTTTCTTTACAATGAGGTTGTAGAGTAAACATCAGTTATACAGTCAGCATGAACTATACAAGTTATATTTTTGCAGCGTTTATTAATCTTGGTTAATGTTAATATCCAAAAATATTACAACATTACAGTGCTGTTATTATTAAGTAAAACGTAAAACAATATTTTGGTAAATTAAATTAAATTAAATTACATTTTACATAGAAAAAAATTTAAACAAATATTACAAATTACACCCTGGCAACTAACTGAAATAAATAAGTTTAGATTGAAGTACTAAAACTACTTAAACTAAAATAAAATAAATTAGAGCTAAATAGAATTTACAAAAGTACATAACAGAATGAAAATATAAACATAAATTCAAATTCAAATGATTAATAAATACTATATTGTAAATAAATACGCAAATAACACTGATATGATAACATTAGTTAATGAATTATGCACTAAAATGAACTAGATGTATATTTATAAACTAATATTACCTTTCAGTTCATAATACCTAATGCATTTACTAAAGTTGATGTATTGAACCCAGTAATTTGTTAGGCTTATTGTAAAGCTCTCACCACTTGAGCCGCACTATCAATCCCCTCAATCCCCCACACAGACCTGCTGCTCAGCTCCCACACAGAAGGAATTGAAAGCACCCACTCATCGCCACGCCTGAGGACACATGCAGTTCCTGTCCCGTTTCTGATAGCCCTGCTCATGGGTTTGCGGTGTTGTCTTGTTTTCTGTACCTGTACTGAGCTGAATTGTTGAATTGGATCAAGCGAGGGTTCAGTTTCTGCACCAGAATCCTGATAATGTTCATGAAGAGAAGGAAGTTCACCTGGTTGGGCAGGAAAACAGGAAAATATGAGCTGAAAATAAGTGTGTGTGAGCCAAACCCATTCATCCATGTCCTCGTGCTTTATCTCACCCCTATGGAAACTACAATGGGACCCTTGATGATCCACCAATAAGGAGAGTCTTCATTTATGTCCCAGCACCTGGAAAAAATCCAAAGGCCTGGATAAGACAGAGCTGATTTAAATCTGCATCTTCTCTAATCTCACAATCCATTAAAAGACTAATTTCCTGTCCTATTATTGGAATTATTGTGTTTCTATGTGGTTGCTGGGGTGTTTTGGGTCATTGCTTACAAACCCAAGTTTTGTGATATTCTGGTTTCTAGATAGACACCCTCAATGTCCTAACCAGTAATTTACAATAAAGCAGCAAATGACAAAAGTCATTGCTTTACCATAGGGCTGTCATTCATTCTAGAAGAGCGTTGCACGGGTGTCAATCTGGGACTTCTTGTAGCAGACTAGCTGCTGACGGAAAGCATCAAAGGCGATGAGACTGATTTCTGTATTGTGCACTTGGCTTTAGGGGCTTGTTTAAATCCCTAACCCTAGTATGAACGAGCACCACTAAGTAAGGTAGGGAAAAATGTGCACTTACTCTGTGTCCTCAAAATACAGTCTGGAGCAGATCCAGAGGACGATGCAGACCAGTGGAAAGCCTGCGAGAAAAGACAAGAGAGAGACAAAAAAGATTATGCTGTTAGTGAAATGGAATCTTACAGAGAGTGTTCAATGCAACTCTGTTAAAAATGAGCAGGGATAATAAACCTAGAAGCTATTATTATCAATGATGATCACGATAATTACACTAAATGTAGAATCTGAAGCAGTTTACAGACTGTATTGAGTGATATCCAGACAGAAGCGCATTAAAAGAATCAGAGCTAAGCTGTATGAAATATTAAGTGCCTTTTAGTTAAATTACCAAAAATTGGCAAAATCCCAAATTTATATTTTAAACAATTATGAAAATAAGCTTAAATGTTTATGGAAATTAGACAGCACTTAGAGAGCATTCATTAAGTATTAAACTTATTTCCAGTTTCCAGTGCTTATATATACATATGCTTTTATTTATATATATACAATATATATATATATATATATATA